TATTAGTTAAAATCCACATAAGCATCCATGCCATTTAATGAATAAATAAGAACCATTGGATGTCATGTAATCAAAAGGCTTAAAAAGAGTGTAAAAGTATTTGTAAAAATATTTGTCCCTTGATCCTATCCCTATATATAAAATTTATAGTTTCCACAAATGCTTTTAAATTGATTTAAGCTTATATGCCATGATTTATTTAATTTTAAAAATGTTGTTATGTGGTTAAGATGTATATATTGTCATGGCATATTCATATGCGTTTTACCTGCTCATAAATGTTGCACTGTTGTGAAATGCTAAAATAATCTTACAGGATGCACATGTAAGTTTAGGTAAGTTTATTATGCTAATTGGAAACATTGAATCATTAGGGCATGCATATGTTCATGTAGTCCACTCATCATTGCTGCACCCTGATGTTAATGCTTGCCCCGGGCTAGGGCTAGTTCTTCATGTTCACCTCCTGTATAGCACGCTTGCCTTGGATCCAAGTAGGTGCTAGTCTTGTTGTACATGTTGTATTAGGCGATTCCGACTTGTAGATGACCGCGATTATCGCCAGTCTTTAAGTGATTGTAGCACTAGAGATATATATATATATATATATATATATATATATTACACCCAATCTTGTCGTACAGGTCAATTTAGGTGACTTTGACTCGTGTGCTAGCATAGATTGATGAGCAAACTAGGTCAGTTGTACAGGTCGCATTAGGTGACTCCGATTGGTATACTATCATAGATTGTTGAGCACTTGATTTCACTTATGCTATTGTCGATTTGGCGTGCTTTTGGACTTACTGTTGTTTTGCATTTGGTTTTCATACATATAAGTAGTATGATTTTCTAGAAACTATACATGTTTTACAGCGAAGGGTTAGTATGTTCAGAAAATAAATGGTTTTATAAACTTTTGTTTTTGTGCCCACTCACCCTTCTGTTTTTCGCCCTTCCAGATCCTAGATAGCTGACCTACCCTGTGGCATGTGAGGATTAGCGGCGACTTTGACATATTCTTGTTTAAATGTAGAAGACTCTTTCCAGTTGTGTACTAAGTACTTAATTAGAACATTTGTAGTTTATGGGTTCTATCCACTACTACGCACTCACTTTATTAGTTAAATAGGTTCTAGTTTCGGTTTTAATTTATCCACATTTTTTTTCATCACTTGCACCTTTGGTTACGTCACCTTCGGGTGACAGCCATCATGCCTCGACTCCGATCGGGGTGTGTGAGTTAGGTATTAGAGCATTGGTTTAGGTAGTCTTTCATTCCTTGTTTGTGCTATAGGTCCTAATAATTTTTGATCTCTTATGTCAGAATTATGCCACCTTGTAGAGAGCCACGTGTCATTTCTGAGACTAATTTCCCCGATTTTGGACAACTTGTTAAAGCTATTGCTTATGCTATTCAGTCCACACTTCATCCTCCCCAGAGGGCTACCTTGGAGATAGTATCCCACCTTCAGATAAATAATTTCTTTAGTAATAAGGGACTTGAGAAATCTGAGATTTGGATCGATCATGTTGAGAAAAATTTCTGAGTCATAGTGATAGAGGAACCTCCTAGTGGAGAGATGGATTGAGTCAGTAACTTAGTTCTTTCATTTAGAAGCAGCATCATGATGGGCTCAGGACTCATGCTCATTGTCTGCTCAAGAGGCCATGGATTGGGATGTCTTCAGACCCTTATTTGAGGCTAGGTTCACACCTCCGAAGTATAAATATCAGAAAAAAGAGGAATTCACGGACCTAAAGTAAGGGAAGATGTCAGTGACTGAGTACCACCGAAAGTTCACTGACTTATCCTTCTATTATCTCGAGATCGTTGCAAATCCCAAAGAGATGCTCCGTTATTTCAAGAAGAAGACTTGTAAACGACTGTGTTTTATGGTGACTACTACTCCCTACTCTACCTACCAAGAGTTCTTTGAGGTTTTGCTTTGGGTTGAAGATTCAAAGAATGCTCATGATGATGATGATGATGAGGAAGATAATAATAATAATGCTCGGAGGAATAATAACAGGGGGCAGTCTTCCTTTGTCCCTAGAAAGACCCAGAATTTCAAGAGAATTGGAAATAATTCTGGATCGTTGAGCGGTGGTTCAAATTCTAATGCACCACGAAGGGGCGGCAAGGCTATAGGTAGTTCCCTATTCTAGAATCAAAGGAATCCTAGCAATATTGGTGTTCCGTTCTGTCGCAGATGCAATAACCGTCACTTCGGTGAGTGCAAGAGAGGAAGTAATGGATGCTATACTTACAGTCAAATAGGGCACAGAGCTAATCAGTGTTCGCAAAGTCAGGAAAATCAGCCTCATACTCTACCACCTACTATCCCTCTCCTACAGATTCAAGGACCTGGTACACGTCGACAGGTTATGATGATGCTTCTCATTATCAAAGTGACATAGCTCAGTATCCAGGATAAGCATATCAGTACCCACTTGATCCTTATTACCAGGGCGGTTACCCACAACACCAAGGAGGCTATACGCCGTATCAAGGCGGTGGATTGCAGTGGTATGATGGGGGCAGTCCCAGAACCTTGAGGTAGCTTCTAGCAGCGGTGCATCGACTCAACAGAACCCACAATACCAAGGGGGCTATACGTTGTATCAAGGCGGTGGATTACAGTGGTATGCTAGGGGCAGTCCCAGAACCTTGAGGTAGTTTCTAGTAGCGGCGCATCGACTAGGCAGCCTAATTCGACAAATCAAGGTCAAGGTAACCAGGGACGAGGAAATCAGAACCAGCGAAACAAGGGTTGAGGAGGCCAACAGCAGACACAGGGTCAAGTCAATCACATCACCTTGAAAGATGAGCCGAGTAACATCGACTTGATTATGGGTACGTTGAATGTTCTTAGCCATTTTGCTAGAATATTAATTGACGTTGGTGCTACACATTTAGTTATTTCCCATACGTTTGCTCAAAAGACTCAACCTCACCCCACTTCCCTCGGTTATGAGTTGGAGTTCTCGATGCCTAGGGGTGAAGTTTGTTATGTTAGTTGGGAGTATCAAGGATGCCCCATTCTTATCGAGGTAATGCCAACCAATCTTGTTCCTTTGGATATTGTTAACTTTGACGTTATCTTGGGTATGGATTGGTTACATTACAATCATGCCAAATTGGATTGTTATCAGAAGATTGTTACTTTTCACTAACAGGGCATACCTATTGTCACGTTTGTCGGTGAACGTAGCTGATAAGCTCATATTTATATATATTTTATATCAAATTCACTTGTCTTTTCTTAGTTAGTTCCTTATATTTTTGAGTTATTTACCTTGTTTTTGTGTTTTTTAGGATTTGTCAAGTAAAGAAAAGAAAAATAACACAAGTGGAATGTTAAGTAATAAATTCGTCAAAACTGCCTGTGCAGGTCAGCTGACTTTGGAAGCCAGTTGCGGACAGTTCAGAATGAATTAGAGAATGAGCCTTATATGCTTGGAAAGCTACGGATGTCTATTTTCTGGAACATTTTACAGATTGTTAATATCATTTTTCTAGAAAAAGTTATGGCCGTTCAAACACTGAAAGGTTCCCAGGAGGCTGAGCAGTTTGTAACTGACAAAGAAGCATTGAAAGCAATAAATCCCATAAAACTAACAGCCAAAACTGATGCAGCCAAGAACAAGCCAGCTAACACCTATTCAAATATCAGAGGAAATGAAAAATTAAGTGAGAGTAATGGGCATAAAGGCTGCCCAAAGAGTTACAATTGTTTTGGCATTTCCTCCCACTTATTGTCATCACTAAATGGCTGTTAGTGGGGTGAGTTATGGAGAAAAAACTGTGGCAGCAGAGAAGAAGAAAATACCTACAGGTTGCAGCAACAAAGGGGGAAAAAAAGTGTGAAAAAAAGATAGAAAAAAAAGAAGCAAAGCAAGGGAAAAAGGAAGGCTGTGGCGTTGGGGAAGGAAGGAAAGGAAGGAGGAAATCTTGGCATTCTCTTCTCTCGGTTTTATCTTCTCAAACTCATGTCTTTCTTTTGGTTTAATTTGAGAATTATGTGTAACTAATTTTTAGTAGTTAGGGGCTGTTTTGAAGCCCCGAATATGATTGCAAGTTTGTTATGACATTTCATTTGAATTACTTTTACGAATGGATGAAAATTGGTTCACTACTTGTCTCATTGATGAATTCTTTTTGTGTTTTCTATGGATGCATACTTAGTAAGCATATCTAGGATTCTAATGCTATGAATATGTGTGTGCCTGCCCTTGTCGAATGAGGACCTACATATGTTCTAGAGTAGTACTTGTTAATTGCGATTAACATGTGAATCAATTTCTAGGATAAGTAAGACAACGCTAGTACTTACGATGCCTTGTGATGACTCAAACTCTTTTCGTTCTTAATGATTTCTACTTGTTAAATCTATGAACACACCATTCTAGATTGCATGTTAGGGACTAAGTTAAGTTGAAAACGCCATTCTCTTAGCATACTACATAAGAAAGAGTAATAGGTTGGGTTCTAACATTGAGCCAACTTGAGCATCTTCATCCGAAAATAGAAGGAATTTGAATGAAACATAACATGTTTGCATGATTATTTGGTGGTGGATAGCAATTCCCCTAACTCGTTTTTCTTAATTTGTGAACTACTCAAAAATCTGTCTCTGTTCTGTTTTTGTTCGATTTAATTTAAATAGCAAATCAACTCCAAAAATCCCAAAATTTTGTGTGAGTGTAGCTCTGTGTGTCTAGTTTCTGCATATAAAATTTCGTAGACTTTAGATAAGTGTAAGTCAGTCTAATAATTATTTTTCGGTGGCTGGTCAGTAGGGACAGCAACCCAGTTTTTGTGACATTTTAAGTAGTTAGATAAAACAATCTTCTGCGGGAAAGACCCTTATTTTCATATGCTACAATTGACAAATATTAGTGTTAATAAGGAAAATCAATAGGATATTTGTGTGCTACTTTGTGGTGTGCTTGTAATCCTATCAAATTTTTGGCGCCGTTGCCGGGGATTGTTATTTCTAATTACTTATTTTTTTTTTTTTATTGTTTTCTTTTCTTGTCTAATTAGTGTTTTTGTTCTTGTGTTTATTTCAGGTACTCTTCGTAGTATATGCATACTCGAAGGTCCAAGAGCATTGATTTAGCTTCCTACGATCCTGAGGTTGAACGAACACTTCGAAAGCTTCGAGGAACAATCAAGCAAAAGCGTGCATCGGTGTCTTTACCACCATCTTCTCCACCACATTTGAGTTCGGAAGAGGAGGAAGAACCACAAGAAGGCATGGCTGATAACCGGACTTTGAGGGAGTTGGCAACGCCTAATACGGATCAACAACCATTGTGCATCACATATCCAAATGCAGGAGGAGGATTTGAGCTTAAGTCCGGCATGATTCACTACTTGCCTAAGTTCCATGGCTTCTCAACAGAGGATGCCAACAAGCATCTCATGGAGTTTCATGTGGTATGCTCGGGAATGAGACCAGCCAATGTGGATGAGGAGCAAGTCAAGTTGAGGGCATTCCCATTTACATTAGAAGCTAAGGCAAAGGAGTGGCTTTACAATTTACCTCCAGGATCAATGAACACATGGAACCAGGTGAAGCAAGCATTCTTGGAGCAATATTTTCCGGCCACAAAAGCTGCAAGCATAAGGAAAGACATATGTGCAATCCGACAACAACATGGAGAGCCCTTTGGAGATTACTATGAGCGATTCACACATTTGGTTGCATCTTGTCCTAATCATCAAATTTCAGAGCATCTTTTAATACAATATTTTTATGAAGGATTGTGTGGTACTGATCGTGTAATGCTTGATGCAGCAAGTGGAGGAGCATTCATGGACAAGACACCAACAAATGCTAAGGCATTATTAAAGAACATTGCTGGCAACACACGACAATTTGGAGGGAGAGATGAGCTACCTCTTAAGAAAGTTAACGAGGTAAGTGCTAACTCTAGTATTGAATTACAATTAGCTAACTTGACTAATCTTGTGCAACAGGTTATGGTGGCTCCAAAACAGGTGTGCGGTGTTTGTTCAATGATGGGACATGCCACAGATATGTGCCCTTCGTTAATGGATCAAGGTGGTCTTGAGCAAGCTAATGCGTTAGGAGGGTTTCAGGGGCAACAAAGACAAAAGTATGATCCATACTCCAACAACTATAACGCAGGGTGGCGCGATCATCCACATTTAAAGTGGAATAATCAAGACAACGGACAACAATCTGTTCCCAACAACTATAACCGTCCACCTGGCTTCTTTCAAGCAAGACCGCAGGCACCGTTTCAGCCTCAACAACAACAAGCTCCAAGTAAGTCTCTTGAGGATTTAATTGCTTCTTTAGCTAACTCTACTCAATCTCATCAACAGAAAACAGACAAAGCAATTGAAAACCTTGAGCGCCAAATGAGTCAATCAGCAAGTTTGATGGGGCAACAACATCAACCAGGAAGGTTGCCTAGCCAAACCGTGGTGAATCCAAATGCGGAGCAGATGAATGTTGTGACTTTAAGGAGTGGAAAAGAAGTTTTTGAGCAGCCAAGGATGCAAAAGAGGACTAGAAAAGATACAAATGAGCAAGGGGAGCAACAAACCAAAAATCTTGAGCAAGATGAGGCTTCAACAGAAACTGAAAAGTCTCATAAAGATACAGAATTAAACAAAAAAGATTCTGATAAGGTAAGTAAAGAAGTTCAAAATTCATTTAACTCATGTGTCCCTATTCCTTTTCCTCGTAGGTTTATGAAGTCTAAGAAGGAGCAAACTGATAAGGAAATCTTGGATACTTTCCGACAAGTCCAAGTGAACTTACCTCTTTTAGATGCCATAAAACAAGTGCCCAAGTATGCAAAGTTCCTTAAAGAGCTTTGTACGAACAAGAGAAGATTCAATGATCAAGAAACTGTGGCATTAAGCGAGGAAGTATCAGCTGTTTTGCAGAGAAAGCTACCACCGAAGTTGAAGGATGCCGGTAGCTTTACCATTCCATGTGTAATTGGAGGGAAAGAGTTTGGAAGAGCATTGTGCGATCTGGGGGCATCCATCAATCTGATGCCATATTCAGTGTATGAATCACTAAACCTTGGAGACTTGAAGGAAACAAAGGTAGTAATCCAGTTGGCAGATCGTTCAAATAGATATCCCAAAGGCCTATTGGAGGATGTACTTGTGCAAGTGAATGAACTTATTTTTCCCGCTGATTTTTTTGTTCTTGAGATGGAACATGACCCTATGCCTACTGCACTTCCTCTTATATTGGGAAGACCATTTCTTAGAACGGCGCGTACGAAGATTGATGTTTACGATGGTACTTTAACCATGGAAATTGATGGAGAAAGCGTCAAGTTCAAAATCTTCGATGCTTTGAGGTACCCTAGTGATTTTGAATCTTGTTTGTCTATTGATGCGTTTGACTATTTTGTGCAGGATTGTTTTAATGAAGGTGTAGGACAAGACAATTTAGAAAAGGTGTTAGTGCATAGCATTACACATGGAAAATTTAATTATTCCGAGCACATTGAAGAAGAATTAATCCAGACAGTGGCAGCCCTTGAGTCTCTTTCACCAATTCGTGGTAAGTTTTCTTCCCATTTTATTTCTCTTCCTACTTTTAACGAAAAAATACTTCCTTCTGTGATTCAGGCACCCAAATTGGAGCTTAAACCGATTCCTGAACATTTGAAGTATGCATTTTTGGGAGAGGATGAAACATTACCGGTCATCATATCATCACAACTCACAGCAGAAGAAGGGGAGAAACTGATCCGGGTACTGAAGGATCACAAAACTGCCATAGCTTGGAGCATTGCAGATATCAAAGGCATAAATCCAGCTACATGTATGCATAGGATTCTGCTGGAGGAAGGTGCAAAACCTAAAAGGGAAGCTCAACGCCGTTTGAACCCACTCATGATGGAGGTCGTCAAGAAAGAGGTTATCAAGCTTCTTGATGTTGGCATCATATATCCTATCTCGGACAGCAAGTGGGTGAGCCCTGTTCAAGTAGTTCCGAAGCGATCCGGAGTCACAGTTGTTAAGAATGAAGCTAGTGAGTTAGTGCCTACACGTGTGCAAAATAGTTGGAGAGTCTGTACAGACTACCGGAAGATAAATAGCACCACACGCAAGGATCACTTTCCAGTTCCATTCATTGATCAAATGTTAGAAAGGTTAGCTGGTCATTCTCATTATTGCTTTCTTGATGGCTATTCTGGATATAATCAAATTGCAGTTGCTCCGGAGGATCAAGAAAAGACGACTTTCACATGTCCATTTGGCACATTTGCATACCGGAGGATGCCGTTTGGACTTTGCAACGCCCCCGCCACATTTCAAAGGTGTATGGTAAGTATCTTTTCTGATATGATTGAGAAAATAATTGAAGTGTTCATGGATGATTTTTCAGTTTATGGTGATTCTTTTGATACATGTCTACATAATTTGTCCTTAGTTTTAAAACGTTGTCAAGAAACTAATCTGGTCTTAAATTGGGAAAAATGTCATTTCATGGTTTCACATGGATTAGTTTTAGGGCATATCATATCTGAAAATGGAATTGAAGTTGATAAATCTAAAGTAGAAATTGTTAGTTCTTTACCTCTCCCTACTACTGTCAGGGAGGTTCGTTCTTTTCTTGGACATGCAGGTTTCTATCGTAGGTTTATGAAAGACTTCTCAATGATTTCTAGACCCTTGTGCCGTTTGCTTCAAAAGGATGTAATATTTGATATGAATGAAGAGTGTGTGGTAGCATTCAACAAACTTAAGGAGTTGTTATCCACGGCTCCTGTGATCATGCCACCAGATTGGAGTTTACCTTTTGAGTTAATGTGCGATGCTTCAGATTATGCTGTTGGTGCAGTTCTAGGACAACGTGTCAACAAAGTGCCACATGTCATCTATTATGCATCACGAACACTCAATGATGCACAGTTGAATTATTCAACAACAGAGAAGGAGCTTCTAGCTGTTGTATTTGCTTTAGAAAAATTTAGATCTTATCTAATTGGAACTAAAGTTATTGTGTTTTCTGACCATGCAGCTTTGAAGTATTTACTCACAAAAAAAGATGCAAAACCGCGACTCATTCGATGGATACTTCTGCTTCAAGAGTTTGACTTGGAGATCAAGGATAAGAAAGGGAGTGAGAATGTTGTAGCAGATCATCTTAGCAGACTTGTGCACTCAAACATAGAGGAAGATTTCATCCCTTTACGTGAGAGTTTTCCGGATGAGCAATTGTTTTCATTAAAGGTTACTGACCCTTGGTATGCAGATATTATCAATTACAAGGTCACCAAAAAGATTCCGGATGATTTTACACGTGCTCAGAAAGATAAGCTTGTCAAAACCGCCAAATACTACGAGTGGGATGATCCTTATTTGTGGAAATATTGCCTTGATCAATTGATTAGAAGGTGTGTCCCTGAATCTGAGTTTAAATCTATTCTAACTTTTTGTCATTCTTATGCATGTGGCGGCCATTTTGGAGCAAAAAGGACAGCCCTTAAGGTGTTAGAGAGTGGTTTTTATTGGCCTAGTTTGTTTAAGGATGCGTACGAATTTTTTGCAACATGTGATCGTTGTCAACGAACAGGTAACTTGGGCCCAAGAAATCAAATGCCACAAACCCCTATTTTGATTGTTGAGATCTTTGATGTATGGGGCATTGATTTCATGGGACCTTTTCCATCTTCAAATGGTTTTCTTTACATTTTATTGGCTGTGGATTATGTTTCTAAATGGGTGGAAGCGAAAGCCACCAAAACTAATGATTCAAAAATTGTTTCAGATTTTATTAAGACTAACATCTTTGCAAGATTTGGCACACCTAGAGCAATCATTAGCGATGGAGGGAGTCACTTTTGCAATAGAACATTTGAAGCGTTGCTTAGGAAGTACAATGTCACACATAAGGTGTCTACACCTTATCATCCGCAAACTAGTGGTCAAGCAGAAGTATCAAACCGTGAGGTAAAGCAAATTTTGGAGAAAACTGTGAGTCCTAGTAGGAAGGATTGGAGCATGCGCTTGAACGATGCATTGTGGGCTTATAGGACTGCTTATAAGACTCCTATTGGAATGCCCATTTCGATTAGTTTATGGGAAACCATGCCGTCTTCCAGTAGAATTAGAACACAAAGCTTATTGGGCTATCAAAGCCTACAACATGGACATGAGTGTGGCCGGACAGCAGAGGAAGCTTCAATTGAATGAGTTAGATGAAATCCGGAATGATGCATACGAGTCTAGTCGAATATACAAGGAGAAATCAAAGGCATTTCATGACAAGATGATATCAAGGAAGAGCTTTGCCATTGGACAAAAAGTTCTTCTATTTAATTCTCGCCTTCGGTTATTTCCAGGTAAGCTTCGTTCTCGATGGGTTGGTCCGTTTGTTATAACTAATATTTTTCCTCATGGTGCAGTGGAAATCCAAAGTGCAAAGACCAGAAACCTGTTCAAAGTGAATGGACATAGACTCAAACCATATTACGAGTCTTTTGCGGAGCATGATGTGGAGGTTGTACCCCTCCAAGAACCAGCTTCCCTTGAATGATTACTCTTGGTACCATCCGGCTGAGGACGTAAAAGCAAGCGCTTATTGGGAGGCAACCCAATATTTCTATTCATTATCTTTTTATGTCATTTTCAATTTTTCGTTTGTTTTGTTTTCTGAGTTTTCATGCGTGCTAAGCTGAAGTATTTCTTTTCTTTGTAGGAATCTTAGGTTATGTCCACCCTTGGAGTTGATTGCAGAATTGAAGTTTGGGGGTCATCACTTGATTTTATTGCAAATTGGGGAAGTTTTCAGTCCAAATGCTTTATTTTGTTTCTTACTATTTTATTTCATTTTATTTTTATTTTATGCATTATTGTGTTTTATGACATTGGGGACAATGTCCAGTTTAAGTTTGGGGGTAAGGATTGAAAAAATGACCAAATTGAAAATTTTCGTCCCTTTGACTAAGAACTGGTTTAATTTGTTTCCTTGTTTTTTTTTTGTTTTCTTAATTAGTTTTGTTGACTCTTAAAAAAAAAAATATTAAAAAAAAAGAGAAATTTCTAAAAATGAAAAATCCAAAAATAGTCTTATTTTATTTATTGTTTTGAATTAGATTTTTGTTAGTTTCCCGACCCAATGATACAACTGGATTGAATTTGAACCACGGTGATCAAGAACTTAGTAAGCATGTATTGTGTGAAGTTCCTTATTCTCTTGTTAGCTTTGTACATGTTTAATCATCTTTGAAAAACCAAAAGCACATAGCCTTGTTGATGTGAAACTAAAGCATGATTTAAAGCTTCGTATGTGAACATAGTGACCATATACAACCTATGTGAGTTTTTGAGCCTATCGAAAGTGTGTGCATTTTTCATACACTCCTATTCTTTCATGTGTGATGAACTTATGTGACTTACATCTCTAGAACTTGCATAACGATCTTTCGAAATGTTTGTCATTGATTGCATGAACTTGAAAATGATAGAGGCATTAGGTTTATCACCATGGCCCAAATAAACATGTTTCCTAAAGAAAAATGATATCATTAGATTGCCAATTTGAGCCTATATGTTAAGCCTTTTAATTCTTATCACCAGATATGTCTGCCCTTATACCTTAAACATTTTTCCTTACCCTTTCCAAGCTAGCTAGTGAGCAATGTGAGATTGTCTTATGAGAAATGTTTGTGAAGTACTTTGAAAGAGTTTGGCAAAAGAATAAGTGTGGGGGTATTTCATGTTTGTATTTAGTTATATGCGAAAATTGGTTCAAAAAAAAAAAAAAAAAAAAAAAAAAAAGAGAAGAAAAAAAGGAGAAGAAAAATTTTGTATACAAAGCAAATAAAAAGTTTAGGGGTGTGATTGGAGGTATTAGTAGAGTGGTTGGAGAGCTTGAGTTCTTATAAATCTCAACAAGAGAATTGCTTGCAATGTAGCTTGGAACTTGTGTTTACCTATCCTTTCATTTCTATAACCCCCTCCCTAAGCCTCATTACAACCAATAAAAGTCCTCTTGATTTTAGTTTTGCAATTATGATTGTGGAGATGAGATCTTTATGCAAGCTTATGGTAGATCTTTCACATTTGATTCTTTGAGCGAAACACGTTAAACTAAACATATGTGTGATTGAGTGTATGTCCCGTGAGAAGGTCACTAGTTTGCATGTAGTGTTTTAAAACAAAACTTGAAATTGCATTAGCATGGCTATTACACACACTACACTTCAAGGATGATTAAAAGGTAGTTGTTAACATTTGAATAAGGAAGATGAGCTTGGATTAGCTTGCTTGGTGCTAGCTAAGGTTCTTGATGATTTGTTTTCTTGAATGAAATTCTATGAGGGTGACATAGTGGGGAGCTAATGTTTTTCATGTTGCTACTTTTTCATGTTTTCTTTGTTTTGCTAGAGGACTAGCAAAAGCTAAGTGTGGGGGTATTTGATAAGCTCATATTTATATATATTTTATATCAAATTCACTTGTCTTTTCTTAGTTAGTTCCTTATATTTTTGAGTTATTTACCTTGTTTTTGTGTTTTTTAGGATTTGTCAAGTAAAGAAAAGAAAAATAACACAAGTGGAATGTTAAGTAATAAATTCGTCAAAACTGCCTGTGCAGGTCAGCTGACTTTGGAAGCCAGTTGCGGACAGTTCAGAATGAATTAGAGAATGAGCCTTATATGCTTGGAAAGCTACGGATGTCTATTTTCTGGAACATTTTACAGATTGTTAATATCATTTTTCTAGAAAAAGTTATGGCCGTTCAAACACTGAAAGGTTCCCAGGAGGCTGAGCAGTTTGTAACTGACAAAGAAGCATTGAAAGCAATAAATCCCATAAAACTAACAGCCAAAACTGATGCAGCCAAGAACAAGCCAGCTAACACCTATTCAAATATCAGAGGAAATGAAAAATTAAGTGAGAGTAATGGGCATAAAGGCTGCCCAAAGAGTTACAATTGTTTTGGCATTTCCTCCCACTTATTGTCATCACTAAATGGCTGTTAGTGGGGTGAGTTATGGAGAAAAAACTGTGGCAGCAGAGAAGAAGAAAATACCTACAGGTTGCAGCAACAAAGGGGGAAAAAAAGTGTGAAAAAAAGATAGAAAAAAAAAGAAGCAAAGCAAGGGAAAAAGGAAGGCTGTGGCGTTGGGGAAGGAAGGAAAGGAAGGAGGAAATCTTGGCATTCTCTTCTCTCGGTTTTATCTTCTCAAACTCATGTCTTTCTTTTGGTTTAATTTGAGAATTATGTGTAACTAATTTTTAGTAGTTAGGGGCTGTTTTGAAGCCCCGAATATGATTGCAAGTTTGTTATGACATTTCATTTGAATTACTTTTACGAATGGATGAAAATTGGTTCACTACTTGTCTCATTGATGAATTCTTTTTGTGTTTTCTATGGATGCATACTTAGTAAGCATATCTAGGATTCTAATGCTATGAATATGTGTGTGCCTGCCCTTGTCGAATGAGGACCTACATATGTTCTAGAGTAGTACTTGTTAATTGCGATTAACATGTGAATCAATTTCTAGGATAAGTAAGACAACGCTAGTACTTACGATGCCTTGTGATGACTCAAACTCTTTTCGTTCTTAATGATTTCTACTTGTTAAATCTATGAACACACCATTCTAGATTGCATGTTAGGGACTAAGTTAAGTTGAAAACGCCATTCTCTTAGCATACTACATAAGAAAGAGTAATAGGTTGGGTTCTAACATTGAGCCAACTTGAGCATCTTCATCCGAAAATAGAAGGAATTTGAATGAAACATAACATGTTTGCATGATTATTTGGTGGTGGATAGCAATTCCCCTAACTCGTTTTTCTTAATTTGTGAACTACTCAAAAATCTGTCTCTGTTCTGTTTTTGTTCGATTTAATTTAAATAGCAAATCAACTCCAAAAATCCCAAAATTTTGTGTGAGTGTAGCTCTGTGTGTCTAGTTTCTGCATATAAAATTTCGTAGACTTTAGATAAGTGTAAGTCAGTCTAATAATTATTTTTCGGTGGCTGGTCAGTAGGGACAGCAACCCAGTTTTTGTGACATTTTAAGTAGTTAGATAAAACAATCTTCTGCGGGAAAGACCCTTATTTTCATATGCTACAATTGACAAATATTAGTGTTAATAAGGAAAATCAATAGGATATTTGTGTGCTACTTTGTGGTGTGCTTGTAATCCTATCAGTAGCAGTCAAGTTATCTTTGCCATGAGAGCAAAACGGTTGTTGAGGAAGGGTTGTCTAGGCTATTTAGCTCGTGTAGTGGCGATTGAAGAGACTTCTGCTCATGTGGAAGACATTCGAGTAGTCAGACACTTTCCTAACGTTTTTCCCAGCGACTTACCTGGCCTACCACCGGATCATGAAGTAGAGTTCACCATCGACCTAATTCCAGGTACAGTTCCTATTTCTCTAACTCTTTATCGTTTGGCTTTTGTGGAGTTAAGGGAATTAAAAATCCAGTTGTAAGAACTTGTTGAAAAAGGGATTATTCAGCCGAGCACATCCCATTCGTGATGCTTGTGTTTTCTCGAAAATCGATTTAAGGTCCGGGTACTACCAGCTGAAATCAGAAGTGAAGATGTTCCGAAAACAGCCTTCTGAACTCAATATGGTCATTATGAGTTTCCTGTGATGCCATTTAGGTTGACTAATGCTCCCGCAGCTTTCATGGACCTGGTGAATCGGGTATTCCGTCCGTACCTTGACAGGTTCATAATCTTCTTCATCAACGAGATTCTGGTATACTCTAAGAGCGAGGCAGATCATGCTAGACATCTACTTCTGGTTTTGAAGAAGCTAAGGGAGAATCAGTTGTACGCTAAGTGCCAGTTTTGGCTGGATCAAGTGTCATTCTTAGGACATGTGATATCAGCTCAGGGTGTTTTCGTGGATCCCCAGAAAGTAGCAGCAGTGGAAAATTAGGAGCAACCTCAAACGGTCACTGAAGTACGGAGTTTTCTTGGTCTTGCAGGCTACTATCGACGCTTTGTGAAAGATTTCTCAGCCATAGCCTTGCCTCTGACAAGGTTGACTCGGAAATGAGTTAATTTTGAGTGGAGTGATGATTGTGAACAGAGTTTCCAACAGTTGAAAACTGTCTCACTCATACGCCTATCTTGGCACTTCTCGATGATAGTGGAAATTTTGAGATCTACAGTGACGCTTCTCTGAATGGTCCGGGCTGTGTATTGATGCAGCATGGAAGGGTGATCATGTATGCTTCACAACAACTAAAGCCCTATGAGATGAACTATCCTACTCATGATCTCGAGTTGGTAGCTATTGTTTCGCTTTGAAAATTAAGAGGCACTATCTTTATGGAGAAAAGTGTCAAATCTTCATTGACTATAAGAGCCTCAAGTATATCTTCACTCAGAAAGAGCTTAATCTCCAGCAGTGAAGATGGATGAAGTTGATCAGTGATTATGACTGCACCATTGAGTATCACTCTGGTTGTGCGAATATTGTAGTTGATGCTATTATTAGGAAATCTCACGGCCGACATAATGCTCCTTAGGCATGTCTTGTTCCTCTTCTCATTGACCTAAAATCTATTGGAGCCACTTTAGAAGTGGATGACCGGGGAGCCCTACTTGCCAGTTTTCAAGTCAAACCAGTTTTGTTGGATCGTGTTCTCGAGGCTCAGATGAACGACTCAGAATCTTAGGAGTTAAAACATGCAATATTGAATGGAAAAATGGGAGATCTCAGGATTCAAAGGCCTAATGGTATGCTGATGCAAGGCGATTGGATGTATATGCCGAATGTATAAGAACTGAAGAAAGAAATTCTCGATGAAGCGCATACTTC